ACAGTTACAGTAATTATTGTAATCACACAAACGTGGCTGAAATGCTTACTGTGTGGCCACACCATTAGTAACTTTCCTGGATTGTTGTAAAGTTTGGTACAGACATTCATGCTTCCCAGAGGGGGAACTGCACTCACTTACTGCTGTCAAGTCAAATTTTATTTATATAGCCCAGTATCACAAATTTGCCTCAAGGGGCTTTAAACTCTGTGCAGTACACAACACTCTCTGTCCATAAACCCTTAAATAAGACAAACACCCCCCCAAAACCTTTTAACAGTAAATGAAAGAAGCCTCCAGAAGAGCAACTGAGAAGGGATCCCTCTTCCAGGACAGCCAGATAGGAATTAGATACCGTGTGTACAAAATAACAACATAACACATTCACAGTATGGACAGTCAGAATGGCAAACTTGTATAGTGTAACATATATGAAGAGCACACTGTGTATGAAGGACATGACCCAAATACCATCAACAGACAAGAGTCACATGACCTCCCCTCCAGACAAAGACATGGTAGGTGGACAGAACCACAGTAGAGACAGAGTGAAAGGACAAAGGGAAAGTCTGACAACACGCTTGTGTTCTTGGTTCTCTCTACAACATCCACATCTGTCTAAGCCTCCCCCCTTTCAACTCGCACACCCCGTTGATAACAAAGTGCATGGTTGATCACATCATTAGTGCCGACCAGATTTTCTAAAATGGATTACAAATCAGCCAGTCTCCATCTCTGGAAGATGGACAACACAGTACATTTTATTATCCCAAGAAACTACTGAATAACACTGTTTTAGTGAAACTAAGGGAGCGGGGGGGTGCAGGGATAGTGATGGCCAAAAGCAGTGTTCGCAGACTCTCACTAATGAAAGGTGGGAGGTGGTTTGTACTGAGAGGACTGTTTTACTTCATTCTAACAAATACAGCAGCATTCATTAAAGACAGAGTGCAATTATAACAAGAACTGGTGCAAAATATGCATGTACACCCCTATGAAGTGAGATGCTATGAGTGGTGGGAAGTCAAGGCTATGAAGACGTAGCCCTACAGCTGCTATGAAACATGAGAAAGATTTTTTTGCAGGGAGGAAATTGCTCCCAGTTGGAAAACAACTTGAACTTGCAGCACAGTTAAGTGATGATAATACACTAGTTAGTAGTGTTCCTTATTTGCTGCAACACTCCCGCCTCCAACAGTCAAACCCTGTTCCCAAACACTAAGAGATTTTCTATTCATGTCTATTTTTGCTTAGTAATCAGACTGAGGAGAAACTGATGCATCTGTACCATTAACACTATGTCTAAAAAGGTAGATAGTGAAGATGAACTAGGATTTATTTTCTGTCAGGAAAAAGGGCCAATTCTGAGCTGCCATCATCTGCTCTCAGCTAAAATGCTGTGAAAGTGTATGTATCATCACATAAATACACATGGATATGATATCACAATGATTAGTAATCCACTTTGCACATGACAACTTTTTTCCTTTACGGTTTACTTTTGGACTGTTTGGAGACAGTTTCCAGTGTTCTACAGCGAAGACAGTTTAAATGTGGAGTTTTATCAGATTCATATCTGCTGATGAAATGTTGCATAATAGAGGATCTAGAGTGTTTGAGCTTATCCCACCCAGTGCAAAGATAGAAGGATCCTGCCCCCTGCTGGCACTACTCTGCATACCATGGTTTGATAAACTTCCAACTGTTGGTGCCTCGTTAAATACAGTGAACAATAAGAGGGCAGCTCTTTGGCAGTCCTGAACACATGAACATGTTTTACTGGGTGAACTGGCTCTGACTTCAATGAATAACATCAAACTCATTTTACATTTGTGGCTTGATGGGGACACTGAAGCTATTGGGGGCGGGAGCCAATCCCAGCTGACATTGGGTGAGAGATGGGGTCCACCCTGGACAGGTCACCAGTCTGTTACGGGGCTCATATGTAGACAAACCACCACACTCACTCCTAGTCACCAATTGACCCAAGCTGCATGCTTTTGGACTGTGGGAGGAAGCCGGAGCACCTGGAGAGAACCCACGCAGGCACAGGGAGAACATGCAGACTCCGCAGAGAAAGGCTCTGGGAATGGCCAGGGCTCAAACCTGGAACCTTATTGCTGTGATATGACAGCGCTAACCACCGCACCACGGTACCGGCTAAATGCTGAGTAATTTACAAAAAATGTTTTTGGAAAAAAAAACCCATTTGGTACTAAATGCAATTGAACCCCATGTAAATAGTCGATCCTTTTATGAATTCATAGACAGAAACATATCTAACTATATGCTGAATGATGTGCTTGTAGACATTTTCCATTTTTGCATGTTCAGGGTCTATAGATGACTAATAACCAGAAGTTGTTTTTGATATGCCAGGATAAAGGCGACAGTGGTGCAGTGGGTAGAGCAGTCGTCTCCCAACCAGAAGGTTGAAGGTTTGAATCTCGGTGCCTCCAGTCCACGTGTTGAAGTGTCCTTGGGCAAGACATTGAACCCCCCCAATTACCCTGATGGTTAGAGCCATCGGTTGAGTTGGCGCCACAGATGGCTGCCATCGGTTCTGTACCAGAAACAAATTCCTTGTAACATACCTGGCCAATAAAGGTGATTATCCTTATAAATAGATCAGGACTGAAGTGATTCATTTATAATTCCATTTTATTTTCAATCTTACACAACATTAGAAGTATAAATATGTTTTAATATACAACATCTATGACATCCATAGAGCTTTTCTGGGCAAAATACAAAACTCAAAATACTTTTATTGCACATATTCTAAAAGACAAACCATTGTAAGCAAGTTCATCTAATACTAGTTTTGCACAAAGGGGGAAAAGAGGAAACTGAAAAGACGAGCATACAAAAGAGGAACCTGACGTATGGAAAGACACTGATTACTGCACAAACAAATGTTCCTGGTGGCAAGGAGCAAGTCGCACACTACTACAAACATCATTATCTGTGACACGAACAGATTTGGCAAAGAAACGATATACAAATATACATCCATGATGCCTTGTAAACAAACACTGAATGTGCTTTAAGGATTTAAATGTCAGCCATCACAGAAAGAAATGTCTGTATGGGGGAAAACATCACTTTTAATTGTTTGAACAAAATTTGCTGACTAATTAAATCTGAAGTAAGGATAAGTGGGGAATTCATGAACCCATTTCAGTTCCAATTTTGCTTTTACTCGCCCTTTGAACTGAATATTGGTCGACATTAAGGTGCATTTGTTCTCTCATTAGCAATACATTTACATTATCAGATTAAAATCACTGCAGTGAATCTCATTTATCTGTCACTACTGAATACACTAACACTAGGTCATTTGGATCAACTATATTTCTCACGTTAGATTAAATATTTTGTTTGACTTGTCAACATGGAGTATATGTAGTAGACAAGATTACTGTTTTTATAGCCAGCACAACAGAGCAAATACTGCATTACATACTTAAGTGTCCTAGGCTACTGTCGGGTTGTCATTTAGGGTTTACAGTTTAAAGGCATCTACAGTGTGTGTGTGTGTGTGTGTGTGTGTGTGTGTGTGTGTGTGTGTGGAAATAGAGTGTGAATGCTGATGTATGACAGCCTCTATGATTAGTACCAAGTATTTGCACATTAACATCAAATGTATGATGTGAACATGAACTCCTGCTATAAAACCGCTCCCCAGCTGAAGCTTAAATCAAGCTGCTGCTCAGTAAGAGCCTGAAACACGACTTGAACAACACTGAAACCGAAGCATGACATCAAATCCTTTGAAACGCTGGCAGCAAAGTGGCGTGTGAACACAACTTATCGTGTATCAATATGTGGGGACAAAACTGGAAATGATGCCCAAAGCCTTTAAAAGTCTACTGACGTGATTATTAGCAAACGTGCACAACTGCTGGTTCATCTCATTAGTCACAGTGGTTCATATCTTACACACCATCCCTCTTCACACTGTAGCCAGCCAGCAAATACATCATCAACAATAAAGACGTTCCTGGGAAACGCCGACAGCCATCACAGTTTTGTTATATAATGCTACATCTGTAGAAACAGCCCACCGACCTCCTCAGGCCTTCTCCTCTGTCCAAGTTACTTTTGGAACACGTGAAAACGTTAAAAGTCACAAAGATGAGGATTACTTTTGATGATGCACCACGGTAGCTTACTTTAGACCACAGAGTTATCAAGCAGAACATGATACTCTAATATCGAGCATACAAACAAATGGCACTGCGAAATCTATACATATATTACAAATGACAATCGTGTAAGCCCATGTATCCCGGTTTTATGTGTCATCATATTTACACCATATTGCATAAAAATCAAAACTATGTACACACATCAGAGGAATGTGAATAAATGCCACATCTTGCAAAGAACAGCAAGTATTATTTCCCATAATTCTAAGGCCCCTTCACTAATTTATCACTTCTAGAACTAGAAGATGATCTGAACTTTATGATTTAGGTGAAAAGCACATGACGTAGTGTGTTCTCTGTGTGCCACTGCACAAACCCCATCATAAAAACAATCTGATTGCAACAAACTGAAACAATTTGCTGAGAAAAATTGTGTGGTCTACTGCATTAAACGACTTGGACATAACCTCCTCCGCGTCTAGAAGTAAGAGTGCAATTCAAAATCATTTATGGCACCAACTCTACAGTACATCACAACTCTTGTCAGCATCCTCCCTATTGCCCTTCACATACTGATTGCACAAAGCATTCTACAATAAACAGAAAAAAACACCACCAACTTCAGAAAATACCAGAAACTATGAGCAAACGATTGCCTACATTCAGACCTAGAACATTTATGTTTTGTCATATGTGGGCGTTTTAGTGTACACACATACACACGCCTACCTCTCTACCAGTATGTAACAGCTTGCCCGGTCCTTAAACAAAAAAATTAAAATAAAGGCATGATGATGTTTGCACAAGCAATCTTACATTTTATCTGGTTCCTCTGAAGCGATAATGTTTTCACTTCTTGTTAGCAGAGCTACGTGGCGACTCCTTCTGCTGCTTGCACCTGCCACTGTCTTTACCTGAACTGTCTTTCAGTGGTGAGAGTGCAGCTCTGGACGCGTCTTTCTTTGTGTTTTTCTGCGCAGACGCGACCTCTTGCACTGGCTCTTTTTTCTTCCTGTCAGGCGGGTCCTTGCGGCTGCAGGACACCTGTTTCTCAGGGCTGCTGATCCTACTATCGGGGCCCTTGTGACTGTCTGCTTTGAGCACTTCAGCCTTGGGGGCATCCTTGGATACCCTGACTACAGTCTCCTGGGGTGCACAGGTGGAGACCCTGACTGAAATGACCCCACTGCTCAGTGAAGGCGTCTCCTTTGTCATGGCAGGTTTGGGCAGCACTGGCGGCGGCTCAGGCTGAGGGGGGATGCGTGTCGGCTGCACAGGCTCCTTCCTGAGCTGCAGCAGCTGATGTTGAGTAGCAGGAGAAGCACAGTCCTTTGGTTTTGAATCATTATGGTCTCTAATGACTGGCACTTGATTTTTGGGTGATGTGTCTTTACGTTTGGCATCAAGACTTTGTTTAATAGCGGGTGTTGGAGCTACAGACGTCTTTGGAGCTGACACTGAGGGGACAGTCTTAGGAGAGAGGGAATTTGGCTTTGACTCAGCATTTTCTTTTACCGTAGGAGTTATGGTTGCTACAGAGCTTTTGGGCTGGGTTTCTCTTTGCTTCATGTTAGTGTGAGAGGGAAAACGTGTCTGCTGGATCGACTCCTCGAGCTTCATGGCAGCTCCAGCGGCATCTTTCTGTTTAGTGTCATGGGTTCCTTGATTGTTTGAGGTCGAGGATGAAGATTCTTTAGACAGATTTCTCTGGTGTGCAGTCACACTGCACCTGACTACTGGGACAGGAGGAGCTGCATTATGAGACTTTACCTCCAGTGTTTTTGCCTCCTCCTCTCCCCTCACAGTGTTGTGTGGCACAGGCTGTGCGTCAGGCCTCAGCTTACCTTTGGGACTCAAAACATTCTCATTTGCTGAACTCTTCTGTTTCAGTGAAGGGGCCACAGTGTTTTCAACCATAACAGTTTCTTCCTTTTTAGAAGCACAGTATTCTGCATCAGAACATTTGTGCTGTGCCTTTTCAGTGGTACTGATTTTTGATAGCTGCTCTGAACCTTTCAGATTGCTTTTATTCTTCATCTTTGGTGATACAGGAGCTTCCTTCTTCTGCACAGAAATGCTACTACTCTCTACTGCACCAACAGACACAGTGTTAGCTTGTTTGTTCAATGAGACTTCTGTAACAGTTTTTAATGATGCGGCCATCTTTAGTGTAGAAACTTCTAAGTCTGCCTCCGCTGTGGCACATGTACCGATTTCCTTCTCAGAGCCTAAGCTGCCTGTGCCGCCCGTCACTTTCACAGCGGTGTTAGATGGTACACCAACAGATTTTTCAGTGCAGTCCTGACTGCCTGATTTTGAAGTGCAGGATTTATTGTCATGCACAGCGCCAGATGCTGATGTTGTGGTAGAAATGTGTGGTTCCATGTCTGAAGAGCGTGTGTTTAACAGTTGCTGTTTTGAAAGTACATTCTGTGGAACGTGTACAGATGAAACATTCTCTACATTCACCTTGGAAACGGAGGTCATATTTGAGATCTGTGCAGTGGCTGGGTTTCTCTCACAGGTCTCATGTTGACCAGTGTCCACACCAGAGTTTGTAGTCTGCCTCAGCGACACAGGTGATGGTTCACTGGCAGCTGTAGCTGGAGCTGCTGCTTGTTTAGGAGCAGGGCAAGGTTTCTCTACCTCAGGCTTTGCTGAAGCCAAAGAAACCACTGTCCTGGAGCCATCAGTGTTTTGTGATTTAGTGCGCAGTGTGACTTCCTGCTGCTCCACTTCATCCTCCTGGTCTTCATTGCTGACTTCCCGTATGGAGGGTGTTTTTCCACAGGAGGAGAAGTGGGAGCTGTGTCGAGGGCCTCTATGTTCATGAGCCAGAGGAGAACTGGCCTTCATACCAGTCCTACTCTCTGGTTTACCAGTAAAGGTTGAGGCCTCCACTTTGCTGGTTGGGAGCTTTAATGATTCACTATGTCTACCCTGTGTTTTCTCACCACTTGTACTGACTTTCACCTCTGTCGTTCCATTGAATGGCTGATCTTTGGAGACAACTATGCTATTTAGAGCTTCAGAACATGGGGAACAAGCCAGGGGGCTCTTCGGTTTGTCTGCAGTTTTCAGTTGGGGGATGGTTATGTGTCTCTCTGTAGGGCTCTGGAGCCAAACTGGAGGACTCGCAGAAACAGTGTCGTTTGTGTTCTCCGCCATCTTGGACAAACAGGTTTCTGTTTTAGAGACTCTGGGCCCTGAGAGTAGGCCAATGTCCAGGGTGCCCTCTAGAGGTTTGAGGGAGGAGACATGGCGTCCTTCAAGTTTGTACTCGGATGACGCCTTTCGCAGCGGAGACTCTGCAGAGGAGATGAGCTGCAGTTTTTCCACAGCGCTCTCTCCTCTGCCAGAGAAAAGCTTAGGGGTCAGACCTTCAGGGCTGGAGTGAACACTTCCCAGTCCCACTTTAATGTGGTCATGAGACATGGCTGTGTCCAGCTGGAGGCTCTTAGACCTGGTGGAGCCAAAGTGGAGGTTCTCATGGATGCCAGAAGACAGCCGACACGCGCAGTCTTCTCGTTCTT